TTCTCATTGCAAAACATGCAAGCATTCTGTGGAATGAAGTAAGGAAGAGAAGCGATAGAGATTAGAAACAATCTTGTGGCAATGCTTCCCCTTCTCACGTCAAGCCAATCCCAATGGTCACCAAAAGAAAAATAACAAAATCAAATTCTTATTGGTCACCAAACAACAAAAATATGGATTAGAATTAAGATGTGACTAATTGTGTGGGTGACTCTTAAACATATGTTGCAATGCAGTGATTTAAAAATAATCCAACTATAGTGAGGTTGTGATTGTAATACTACCACAATTACCAACATTACATACAAGGACAGGGGGGTCTATTAAAATTCTTAGGTGGCCCTATTTGTTTTAGTACCAACAATCACACAGCGGTTTTTTAAATATTTCACTTTGGAATAAAAAATTCCAGATGCGATATTCAATATTTTTTAAAAATATATATTACAGATTAAAAATGAGATAGTTGTGCGTTATTATTTAGGAAGAAAAATTATTTATATAATAATCATGGATTGAAAATACAATATCGATTTTCTTTAACATTTCGTTCGATGTTATTTTTTTTCAAATCATTTATTTCAAAATTTAAACCAAACCAACCCTACGTGAACATTGTAATTGAAGTTCATATGCCTAATGGTCATGGACTTGCTTCCGTTACCACTTTTCTACTGAACGTTGGGCATGCTTTACGATATTTAAAATACTCGAACAAACAAAAGAAGAACTTAAAAATTGGTCCATGGAGAACCTTCGTGTACTGAATTTTCAGATATTGAGCATGATACTTGACTAGAGAAAAGGATTATCGCCAAAGCATCTTTTTTTTTTCCAGCACAGAAATATTAATATGAAAATAAAATATGATGATACGTTGCTACTTACCAAGCAGTTATATATCGGTTTACATATTTATTGAGAAAGCATTAAATATCATATATTATTATACATATTTAAATATTTTTCTTTAATATAAAATTAAATATTTTTAATAATGTGTGTCAATTTTTATAACGTAAATTATTAATAATCAAAAATGTGTGAATTATTAAGACAAAATTAATTTTAAATATAAAAAAAATACACAATTACTATTTCACCTAAGTATCTGTTCACTACTGCTACTTATAAATAGCATGTATACACGGTATAGCACATAGCACAATACAATTCGTGTAGGAAAAGAATAAGAGAAAAGTACGCGTTTGAATTAGAGATGTTTTAAACTTTATTATAGATAAATTTAATTTGAATTGAAAAAGAATTTAATATTGAGTGAATTTGTATAATATTAAATAATTATTATTAAATTAATTTTGACACATAATAACACTATTAAGACAATATTAATAAAAGTTACTTTACATTTAATTACTAAAAAGATAAAAGTTTCGTCTTTTGGGATAGATTATAAAAAGAATGTTTAAAAATTGAAATCTCTTCAAGAAGAACTAGTGTTAAATACAATTTTTTACAAGTTTCGGTTTTTTTTATCTTAATTTTCGCTTGTTACTTTTTCTCTTTTTTATTGTTTATCAAATAATTTACTTATTATTTATTTTCTTTTTAATTTTATTTCTATTTAATGGTTGCTGATAAAATTTATCTTAAAAACGTTAATAATTCAAGAAAAGAATGAGTAGGATTTCGATAAAAAAAAGAATATAGAAAGAAAGAGTGTGAGATATTGATTACTGAATTTAATGAAGACACACGTACCATGGAAAAAATGATATTTTGGGGCAGTGTGGTATCAAAATTGTCCAACTCGATTGTAGGGAGCAGAGTGGATGGAAAATCAATTCAAGCAACCGACTTCAAAGTTGAAAGTGGATCAAAATTGCAAATATAAGGACATGTTCAATGAACCTGGTAATGCAATGTAAGAATAATAAGGTAGCGCATATTAGAGGGCTTCCTTCATAAGTCGTAGTTAAATTACAGTTACAGAGAACAGAGATAGATAACATATTAGCATGGCGTTTTGGGTTTCGTGAACTGGACGAGAGGTCGGTTGAAGAGTACGTGAAGGGCATCCCTGCCCTGTCCTCAAAGTTGCGAGTGATAACGGATAACGTGATGACGGACCATGACTTAACGGTAAACGAGATCGGAAGATGGTAACCTCAACTTGTCTTCGTTGGTCGCCAACTCTGCGGGTTCCATCATATCATCAAACAGGTAAATCTGCATGTCTGTCACAAACTTGCTGATGCTGATGCTGATTAATGGTTGGGGAATTGTAGGCTCTGCCGTACATCGTTGCATAGGGGAAATCATGGCCACTGACGAAGGAGAGAGCATACTTTGAGGCGATGGCGTTGGAAGAGCAGGGTCGCTTAACCTCCATCAAAGTCCCGCAACTCTATCACTTTGCACCAAACCATGTCCTTGATCGCATGCGACTACCTGAGCCCCCCCCACATCATCCTCAGAAAAGGCCCTCATTGCTGCATTCAGTATCCACTCCTCGCCCACCACATGGCACATTCATGGCCAACACCCTTTTCTTTACTCTCTCTTGTTCCGCTCCACAGAACATCATAAACGGAAGGTTGTTTCTCGTTATTTATGTTTGTACTCCATACTCCATTCCATTGTCGTTGTGGCACGGTAATTCCCTTCGTTAATCATCACATTTACATTTGCAGTTGCCAAATTCTGCGGGAATGCAGCGTTATGCAGGCACACTGACAGGTTGTTTTCTCTGACCCTTATCAAATTTCTCAGTATAATCACTGGACTTCTCCTTACCTTGATCCTCATGCTGAGGCCCTTCGTTCATGACAATCTACTCAACTTGAAGTTGCTCACCTCAAAATCTAAGTACGTATTGCTATTAATTCCCGCTTTACTTATTTTCGTTCTAACAAGTAACAATTTTTTATTCTTGCAGGTTCTCGGAGAGGGCCCAGGCACTAATACACGGTGATCTACACACTAGTTCTGTCATGGTCACACCTGAATCAACTCAAGTGATTGATCCAGAATTTGCATTTTATGGACCAATGGGTTTTGACATTGGTGCATTCTTGGGTAACTTGATCTTGGCTTTCTTTGCTCAAGACGGACTCGCTCATCAAACTGATCATCGAAAAGTACCTCCTATTTTTTGCGATTGTTATTTTATGTTCTTTTTATTCAATGTTTTTTCTTGTCCACAAGATTTCCGTTTGAAAAGAAAACAAACAAAATTGATCGCAATTTGACTTCTATCAAACTCCAATTCTGTTCTGTATATAACTGGTGCCTTGTTATCCAATCCATCTATGTTATAATCAAGAGACAGAGTACTTGATGTGTGTTTTTAAGGTAACAAATTTATATCATGCGGATTTGTGGAATCACCAAAGAGAAAAACTTGGGGGAACGGAAACATATAGCATGTTTGATTTCTATTCTTAAAACAGTTTTTCTGTTTCTATTTTTAAAAATTCATTCTAACACAAACAGAAATCAAACATGCTTTTAATCTGCTATCAGTTTTTACTAGTATTATGCTGTTTATTGTATTGTTCTTTATGATGCACCATATTTCAAAAATCATGACGTATGAAACTGCATTCGTATTTGATACAGATACACATAAAATACACTTACACTTGTATTTCACGGTTATTTCGTTTGCTTGTTGATTTTGACCTTCCTAATACTTATATTATTTAACTATTAGTGTAAATTTTTTTTATATAATATTTTTTTTTATTTTTAAGAGTTTTTATTTTTAGAAGTTATTATTGAGTAAGATTTTGTCAAGAATTATAGTAAAATATTCAATATAACATACATTAAATATATTTTACTTCATACATGTTACCATACTCGTATCTTATATTTTTAAAATTTTGTCGTATTTACATGTATAGTTTTGTCTCGTCACTAGTAGCTTTGGAATGCGGGAAGGGTTACATAATGGGACTATGCGTTTAATTATGATTCTTATTAATCTATGGAGATTACTGATTGAAGGGGGGAAAAGAGTGATATATAACGATATTCTTTTGTCTGAAACCAAAAGAATACCATGTGACGCAGGCATATAAGGAGTGGATTCTTCAGACAATCGAAGACACTTGGAATCTTTTTTATCACAAATTCATTGCACTTTGGGACGAGCACAGAAATGGTGGGCGAGGCATATCTTCCAGCAATTTACAACAATCCTGAGGTTCAGCTTCTGGCACAGAAGAGATACATGACAGAGTTGTTTTCATGACACACTTGGATTTGCCGCTGCCAAAATGATAAGGTGACACTTTTCCTATCTGACACAATTTAACAAAAAAGCTGAAAACAAAATAAAACTATTAAGAGCCCATTTGACCTTCCAAATTATTTCAAAATTTTGAGCAAATGTAGACCTTGTTTTAGGTAGAGTTGATATGGATTCACTCTCAATTACTTTGTTTTGACAGGAGAATCGTTGGTGTGGTCCATGTTGAGGATTTTGATTCCATTACCGATGCTGTTAAACCGGCTTCCTGTGAACTGAAGCACTTAATTTGGCTAAGATGCTTCTCAAAGATAGACGAAAATTTGAAGCATTACTGAAATTGTTTCAGCAATGCAGCAGTTATAGTCTCCACAAGGATTTGCTTATTGACATTTCCATCGCGTACTGTAAATTTAATTTAGCTCTCCTGAAGTGTTTGGCAGTGTCACTGTCAACACTCAACATCATGCATGCATAGAGGTTTCTCTGTTCTTCTGTTGTCTAGTGACAGTAATTCTTATTACATTCCGTTTACTTATTCAAGATCCTCTCCTTTCTCTTTTCAAAAATCCCATCCCGAACCACCCCGAATCCATATGGCAAAATTTGAAAGAGGATTGTGAACTCCATCACTACAATAGTTGATTTTTCACCCCATTAATGTTTAGACTTTTATGGGTTGACATTAACGGAAAACCCACCAAAAGGTAAATTGATTGCAAGTAATCACCACCACAGCTATCAAACGAAACAGAAACCAAAAGAAAAGAGTGAAATGACTAGCCTTATAATTCTGACCAGCCTCAAAATTAGACAGCGGGGTTTTGCAGCCAGTGCTATACGGCATGACCTAGAATAGTAACAAAATGCAACTGTTCAAGCATCTAATGGAATCGATAAATCGAAATCGAGATGATTGAACAAATGAAGTGTAAGTAACCAATACCTTGAAACCTTTATAGACAAGGTTTTTGGAGTAAAGCTGAGCAAAGACCCACCAAACGGACTCCATGAAGTTAAGGTCCATAGTTTTGTAATCATTCTTGAAGTCGATCCAACGGCCCGTGCGAGTGATGACAGTCTCCCACTCAGTGACGTAGCGCGTGACGATGCTGCGACACTCCTCATTGTACTTATCGATTCCTAATTTGAGAACGTCCTCGCGCTTCTTAATGCCGAGCTTCTTGTCGATCTCGTTTTCGACGGGAAGGCCGTGGCAGTCCCAGCCGAAGCGGCGCGTGACGTGGTGGCCGGTCAAGGAGTGGTAGCGAGTGACGATGTCTTTGATGGTTCCGGCGAGGATGTGGCCGTAGTGAGGGAGGCCGGTGGCGAAGGGAGGGCCATCGTAGAAGATGTATTCAGGCTTGTCCTTCGTGAGTGCTAACTGAGTGTGGAATGCGTCGATTTGGGACCAAAATTCTAGAATCTTCTCCTCCTGCTTCGGGAACGTGAAGTCTTTCCCTTCGCAAACGTCTTCCATTATTCCCTTTCCCCTTCGATTTCCTTGCTTTCGACCAATGCAACTATCAACGGCCGCCAAGCACTGAGACTCAGCTTCTTCTACTCTTCCTCGCAGGAATCAGGGTTTTGCTTCAACGGTTAACAATAAATAAATAATTTATGTATTTTATATTTTTAATACGGTAACTCTCTTTGACCTTTAACAATGTAACAGTAACTTGTACATAAAATGAGGTTTAGAAGAAGCATTAAACATTGTGTGGATTTACAGGTGAAGTGAACATCATTTATCTCGAATAAAATGAAAATAAAATCGATTAAATAGGTTATGAGAAATTTTAGATTGAATAACAAATTAATTTTGACAAGTTTAAAAATAATAATCAAGAAAAATATTGCTTTGTTTTTGTCTCTTGTTACTTAATCATGCCTAATGTGGTTATGTGTATTTAATTGTAAATTTACTAAAATTTACAGTAAATTTACAAGGAATTATTTTATTCCTAATCTAATTGCTAAGGGATTTATTGGAAGAAATAAAAGGTGAGATATAGGTGAAATTTTAGAAATTCATTTTTATTTTATTTTTTTTGGTGAAAAGAGATTGAATTGTTTATGTAAAATGATAAGGATGGCTTTGCAAAAGTTCTTGTAATGCTTGTACAAGCATCTAAAGTTTGATTTCAGTAATAGGTTAAGGTCCGGATAAGCAGTGATGAATATGATAAGTAGTAGAAAACAAAAATAACATATGAGAGTGTTGATAACATTATGTTAGAAAATAATTATTAAAGATATAATTTAGATAAATTTTTCAATAAGTCTTTATAAGACTAAAAAAGATAGTAAAATGAATGAAAATAATTTATGTTTCTCTATTTTTTAGAAACTTTTTTATTTATTTTTTCTAAAACTTAAATAGTATAATTTACTTTTAATTTATACAAGAAAACTTAATTTTTATTTTTATATTATATTTCTTCCCCGACAAACACTTGTCTAAAAGTTTATAAAAACAAAATCATAATGAATAATGGAATTAGACTAATATTTTGTCATAAAATACTCCCAATCTTAAAAATTTTAAAACACCATTGCTAGGGCAACTTGCATCGGTTCCTTAAAGCAATATTTTATTATTATTTTCTAAGTTTCATTGTGATATACCAACTTTTTTATTCTAAGTAACTGAAGTCTATCAATATATTTTAAGCAACTAAAGCTTTATATATTTCTGTCTCCTCCCACCAAAAAATCCCCTCTCTTCTTCCCTCTTTTTTTCTTCCCGTCTATTGGTGGGGACAATGCCTTTATGACCATCTATGGTGTTTTTGTGCGTTAGATGATAATAGTTTTCAAAAGGGAAGTGAGAGCAATTCATTGTTGTGATGGTGGTGATGCCTTGATGGCTGTTTGCATATTTCTTGGATAGTGGTTTCAGGAGGCGAGTGAAGAAGGTATTTTTGATTAAGTAATATATATAATTTTATTTTATTTTTTACAATAAAATTGTGGAAATTTTGTTAAAATTAACTAAAGCAAATAAAACATACTTCCTCACTTTTTTTTTACATAACTACCAAACTTTAAAACCTATTTGAAAAAACAAACATTTTATGAAAACAAGTTATTTTCAACTTATTCTAATTTATCGTCAAATTTATAGTATAAGTAATTATTTTTAAAAATATTAAATAAATATTTAAATAAATTATATATCCACAACCACACACACCCTTAATAAAATATTCATTATGTAAAAGTTAAGATGAGAAAAAAGAAGGGCAATTAGGAGCTCTCTCTCTCCAAAGAGTGAATGAATCGTAACATATCAAAATCCGGCGTGAACAAAATTTTCTAAGGTATGAGTCATTGGAATTCAAACGTTGATTACACCGGAGGTGATGCAGTACAAGAAAAACGAATTTGAAGATGTTATTGAGGCATGCTAATATTCCATAAAAAAATGGCCATGCAGGGAAAGATGCTGGTAGTATTAACGCTTGACCCATTGGAAACTTTTTCTTGCTTTGGCTTTTCCTGGCTTTTTCCTTTCCACCACTCGTGGGTCCCTCGTCAAGAAACCAGCTGGTCAAGATTCAAGAAAAACTAGTTTAGCAAATTATCATGGCGCAGCACACAGACAACCAAGCCACGAGCAAACGATTAATTAGCATGAATCCCAACTTGGGAAGTTTGATATGAAAAATGATTTTCAAGAGTTTCATAATATGACGGGAAATAAAAAAAATGTAGCAAAGTAAATCAACAGAGAAAAAATGCAGAGAGGCTTATACCATTTCTAAGTGCAGGTCGCAAATCTGGTTCCCAGTTTTGCAAGGCCCTGCTAATCCCTAATCGTATAGCTCCAACTTGCCCTGTTGTCACAAAATACATTATAGTGATACAGATAATACAGATGGAAACTTGAACGATAGTTAAACAGTTGAACTTTGACAAATTACTCAGTTAACCATTCTGTCCAACTTCCATTATGCACACTTTAATCAGTGTATGATTGTTAGTGGAAGTTGAATAGAAGTGACTGTTGGGACTTGGGAGATGCATCGAAGTTCCAGAATTAATTGTCTAACTTCAATATTTGTTTGGATGAGAGGAAAGAAAATAGGTAAAAAAGAAAATACAGATAACAGTACATTTTCTTTTATTTGATTGAGAAGAGAAAAAAGGCGAGAAAAGTCAACTTAAAAAAACAATTCAAACTTTTTTTTTTCCTTCCCTAATTTTCTTTCATCATTCAGTCTGTGATCAGTGCAATGCCCAAAATTAAAGCTGGGTACATTTTGCACTAATTTAAGCCAGAACATAAAAGGAAATAAAAACATAATTTAATACGGTGGACTACTTTTCATATTAGCGAAGCATGAAGTCATGTAGCATATACAAAAGGAGAGCTGATTCAGTTCATAAGTATTTTCTTCTTTATATCTCGCATCAATACATATTTTTCCTAGCGAAATCAAAATTAAAGAAAGCTCATGATTTATAAATGATATTGTAATGGCCAATTCCAGCATGACTAGAATAGTACAGATTTGACTAAACAACTATACCTTTTTCGCATGGATCAAATGACACCATAATGTTCTGTTGTACATTTTTAGGACCAACTATTAACCTCTAACTCTTTCTTAGTGGCCTTGCCTCCAGATTTTCTTAGTATTCCTCTACCTCCAGAAATTGGTATATTCTCCATCTTATCTCCTCTACTTAATAGGACTTTTATAGGTTTTTTCCACATGCCCAAACCACCTAAGAGTCTAACACAAGCTTTTACCATCTTATCTACAAAAGCTGTTACACCAACATTTTCTCTTGTGCATTCATTCCTAATCCTATCTTGATGTTCTCTGCAATATCATACCATAACGTGCATGAAATATGCTTTGAGAGTGGTATACCCTAGAGGCCTAGACACGCAGAAAGACACCAGATGTCCTACAAACTCTAAAACCCAAACTAACTAGCATTTGCAAACTAAAGTAGACATTTTTCAGTTGAAAGATATAACATTATCATATAATGAAAAAATATAGATGTTAATCATGGAAATTCAAATATAGAAACATACGAAAATAATTAACCTCACCTGAAACACCACCTCCCTTCACAGTACAACTGACATCCCATAGCCCCAAAGTCTTTGTCTCAGAGAATGGTCGGAGGAGAGAAGCTCGATGATCAAGCATAGGGAAATAAACATCAAACTCTTTATCATTAACTACAAATTTACCATTACCAGGCTGAACCCAGACACGGGCTACACTGCATTTTCTTCTTCCTGTTCCATAAGCACGCCCTTTCTCATCAACTTGTTTCACTCTTGCTTTTGCAGCTTCCTCTTGCTTTAGACGCTCCATTTCTGCTCTGGTGGATCTTCTAATACTCTTCTCATAGCGCATGTCTTCAAGTACACTAAGAGGGGGTAACCCATCAACCCCTTCAAAGTCTTTCAATGCAATCAGACTGTCAAGCATTTCATCCGTGATTCCAGAAGCAGCAATCAGATCACCAAACGCGCGTTCTGGGCCTGCAGCAACACCAAGAAAATGACACCACTTACCTTGATAGAGATCCAAACTTCAAATAAAGAGAAACAACTACATTACAAAGTACATTACACACACACAAACATCCTGAATATACTCTAGGATTTGGAATTCACACCCACATATTAGAAAAATTTGAGCCAGTTCCCCTGGTCTCTGTCTATTACATGCTTAGGTTTAGCATTCATAATATAGAATCAAACACTGACACACGCAAGCAGATATATGACGATGTCAATTCAAACATTACGTGACTTTCTGGTAAACCCCTAACCTTTGAGAACGGCAGTGAGCGCTTGCTCTTCCTTCTGAAGCTTCTCCACATCCACTTTTGGTTTAATGTCCACAGCACTGAAGTCTCCTTCCTGCCTCACATCCTCATGAAAATCAAACACATCACCTTTCTCCTCCTCCTCCTTCAAGCTCCAAGGTGCGAAATCATCAAGACCCTTCTCTTGCAACCAAACCTGTTCCTCCTCTTTCTCCACTCTACCCCCAATGCCTTCCCCCTCCGCGTCGTTCATTCCGGCGAGGCTTCCACTCTCTTCCGCGAAGAAAGCATCAAACTTCTCTTCGCTCTCCCCAAAACCCTTCCATGCACGGGAAGAAAATGGGTCCTTGCCATCTCCGTTGTCGCTGCTGTTAGAGGAGAAGCGTTTCGGAACGACGGTGAAATAGGGATTGATGGGTGAAAGGGTGAAATTGGGTCGTTTCGGGGGAAGAGAGAGGAAGCGACGGAAATGAGAGGGTTTGGGAATTAATCGAGAAAGCATGGCGATGAACAAAGTGCGTGTGAATTTGAGTTATTGATTGAATCTATCATTCATTCATGCATTACGAGACATCGGAGTCGCCGGAGAGTTGACGACGGCAATCGGAGATTGAGATGAGTGAGAGTAGAATGCAGGGAGGGACTGTTAGCTACTGAAGTTAGGATTAGGTTTACAGAACCAGCAACCAGGGATCAAAACCGTCGTCGTTTAACAAAACCATTAGATTTTAGAACTTCTTTTTTAGTTCTGGAGATTTAAATTTAATTAACAATTAAAATGATTTTAATTGTATCACCATTTTTAAAATTTACATAAAAATTACTGATATTACAAATAATATATATACATATACAATTATTTACGTATAATATAAACAATTTAAGTAAAAAAAATCAATTAAGAATGAATATAGAATTAATTTGACAAATTTAAACTTAAGATTTGAAATGAAGTTAATTAAAATAACGTCTGTTATTCTATAAAATATTAAGTTAAAAGATATAACTTATAGCGTATTTTAACTAATACGTAAGATAATTTGTTCACGCTAATAGAATATTAAAATTAAACTCAGATTTCTTTTTCTAATATGTAAATATCAGTTTAAAATATGTGTGCATGCATTGCAACATAATGCAATATTTCTATAATGTTATGATTTATATTCAATAAAAGTAAATAATATAAAATAAATTTTTAATCACCGTTTTTTAAGCCTAATCATTGTTAGTATATGCTGAAATTACACATTATTTATGTATAAACAAAATACTACGTATATGTGTATGTAATTTTGAGAGAGAATGAAATTATTATATTAAAATATTATTAAATGATATTAACTATATAATAACTGATTAAATAATAATTTTACTATGTTTAATGTCTTTTATTAAAAGTAGAAATTAAATATGAAGGTGAAAATGTGATAATTATTTTATTTTATTTTTTACTTTAGATAAGATAAATTTATAAATTAAAATATATAAAATAAAGTCAAAATTCATAATGATGAGTATTTTTTAAGTCAATTATAGAAACGTGAAATATAATTCTATTTGTATAATCCTTGTTTCTATTGATTTTTATTTTACATTATAATTAACAAAATAAAAAATAAATTGTGTTTTAAATGAATTATTATTAATATTGAATAATAAAAATAATAATTATTCTAAAATAATTATAATTATGGAATAAGACATATTTATAATTTTATATAAATTCTTAAAATAAGCATAGAATATAAATTTGAAAAAATTAGTTTATGTATATATAAATCATATTTATTTTATTTTTGAATTGTAAAATGAATTGATAATTAGTTTTGTTTCTATTATATAGTTTATTACGTTTTTTTATTTTCTGATATAACTTCATTAACTTATATAAAGTTTCATAAGCTTTTGTAAATAGTGTAGTCTCTTTTTTATTTTATAAATATACTTTCCGATTCTTTAAGCTCTCTCTAATTTTTTTTTATTTTCTTTATTCTTTGTATTTCCCTTACAAGTCTGATACTTTTTATAGTATCAAAGCTTGATGTACTTATATCCAATAGCTTTGATTACTTAATTTTTAACCCTCTCTCAAATAATGGTACCAGTTTCCATAAAATTCAAAAATGAAAATTTCTTCACATGAAAAATGCAAGCAAATGGCACGATCTGATCTCACAAATTACAGAAATATCTTGATCAAGAATCGAAGGGAGGAATACCAATAAATACAAAGATGATGCAAATAAACTTATAGATACGATCATAGATGCATATGTCTCATGAGATCAACAAGATCAAATTATCTTTACATGGCTTCTAGCATCCATGTCACTAATTTGGAGCACCTTGCAGGTTTATTTCAAATCATAGACTTGTGCGAAGGTAACTCTGCTCAAAACACATCTTAAAAGTATCAAAAAGGCAAGTTCTCTGAATAATTATCTCATGTCCATAAAGAAAATTGTTAATACTTTGGCCTTTGTTAGCTCTCTTATTAACATTGATGAGCATATTTTCATCATCCTTGATGGTTTGCTAAGCAAATATAATCCCTTAGTTACATCGATAATTTGTCAAATTGATCCATACAATGTGACTAAGATCGAAACTCTCCTAGTCATTCTCAAAAATAGGTTAGAAAGACACAAGAAAGAAGAGCAAGATATCTTTACCATGCAGAATTTATAGGCTAGTCTTGCCATATGCAAAGAAAATTTGGCAAAAATCCATATGATAGGTTTCACGGTAGAGGAAACACCAATTTCAGAGGAGGAAATTTCAGAGGCCATGATAGAAGATTTGGAAGAAACAACAACAATGGAGACAAAAGTTATAGTAAACCACAATGTCAAGTCTGTGGCAAGATTGTCCACATAGCTCTCTCGTGTTATCATTGATACAATCCTCATTATCAGGACAATGCCACCTCCAATACTCAACCTATATATCCTAAAAGTCAAAACACTGCTATGGTTACAGAAAACTCTTGATTCACAGTCCAATATTTTCAACATATATGATAGTTTCTAAGACTCTTTATAAACCATCGTGGTACCTTAATACAGGTGCAACCAACCATGTTACACCAGATCCTTCAAACTTACAAAGTAAGGTACCATACAATGGTGACACAAAGATGAAAATGGCCAATAGTGAGTCTTCTTCCATAAGAAGCATAGGTAAATCTTACTTCTTCCCTCCTAATTCTGTCTCACCTCTTTTTTTGAACAAATTGTTGCATGTTCTTGCTATCACTAAGAATTTGCTTAGTGTTTCAAAATTTGCTAGGGACAACCATGTTTTCTTTGAGTTTTTCCCTTACAAGTGTTTTATCAAATCTTAGGAAACTAGCAAACCACTTCTCAAGAGCAAGCTAAGACATGGTCTTTATGCATTTGATTATATTTCTCTCACTGTTTTTTTCCTGTCCATTGATAAACAATGTTGAGTTTCTATAAAAACAACTAAGTTTTGCTAAGAATTTTGCAATATAGAGTTCAACCTAGGTCGATTCACAGAGACACATCTTTAGTTAAATTCAATTTTAGGTTTTTTTTTTTTTTTAAAGAATGAAAGTAAGGTTTTGGGATTTGAAAAATACAAATTAATTAAATTAAATTAAATTAAGAATAAATTAAATTTAATAAAAACAAATTAAAAAATATCAATTCACAGAATAATAAATGTGTGTAACTCCAATTATCGCAATATCTAAAGATTTTAATCCGAATTTGAATGCTTACTCAATTTAATTATTAATTCAATTGAATAACTCAATTGAAATAGATCACAGATTAAATTAAATTATCATTTAACCTAATCTGAATTAATTATCAAATTAGAATATCAATCGAATTCAAATTCTAACAACAGAAAAGTTCATCACGATTGCAATACACATATCTGAGGTTAGAGAATAAGAAAACAAACTCAGAGCAATTCTGCCCAGAACTCAAATTGGAATTATAGCGTTTGGATTCCACAGATTAAACGAGAAGTTTAGCCTTCCATCGAAGTACTTAACTCACGCGAGAATGAGAAAATTCGAGAGAAAGTAAAAAACAAGGATTCTTATTTCAGCCAATTCTCAAAAACTCAAAATGTCTAATCGCTCCCTAATTGAGAACCTTATTAGTCTATTTATAAGTTCTTATTAGGATAAATTAAGTGGCCAAAATTTGAGCCTCAATAATATCTAAAAGCCCAAATATAATTATTAAATAACAAGGGTCCAAATGAAATCCCGCAACAATATTTAGCAAATCTGTCTCAACTTCAAAAAATTATAAAAAATTGAAAACAACTTCAAATTCATAGATTCATAGGTACATTTTGAAGCCTTGGATGTGTAAAATTCAATACAACTTGAATAAGCCAAAAACGATATCTGTAGACAAAGTTATGGCAAAAAAAGTAGTCAGAGGTCAGAATAATAAAAAATACAAAATTAAAGCATTTATTTGTAACAAACCCAATTTATTCAAATAACTAGAAAATGATAAAAACTCTAATAACAAAGCATATTAAAAGTGTTTATAAATCAAAATAAAACTATAAATGTAAACCTAAAATATGTTACATCAAATTCTCCCACACTTAAGACTTTAAGAACCAAAAAGAAACTAAGTTGTGTACAAAGCTTATCAAGTTCAAATATCATGGCTAGAATGGAAATTAATCCTCACACTTCAAATTGACAAATGAACTTATCAAATCAATTGAATGAACCATAAGAGATGGAATCCTCACATGACATACTTTTTATCACTCAAGTGTATGTATAAGGTAAAGTGTATCACTCAAAATGCACAACATAAAGCATGATCAACCATAAGCTTGCCCATTACCTACTTTTCTACTAGAATTCACACATACACACAAAAATTAAGAGGACTTTACTAGGTTATAAAGGGGGTAGGGTGAATGTGAAAGAATTACAAAGGTAATAAAGTTAAAACCAAAGAAAATATAAGAACAATGGAGAAAGGATCCAAAGAAAATAAGCATGAAAGTAAATCCCCTAAATAAATATATAATGCAATACAATCTTAAAAATAATCCTCTATTACTTTTACTAGCTACCTAATGCTCTTTTTTCTTTTCATTGCTTGTTTTTTTTCTTTTTCTTCTTTATTTTATTTAGAAGCTTATTTTTCTTTTCTTTTCTTTTCTTGCACTTTCTAAGACAATCTTCCCCACACTTATTTCTATGATCATTCTCAAAACAATTGCAAAGTTCTTGTATCCTCTAAGGTTAGGTCATTTTATTGTTTTACACCTTTGACTTGAAATGAGTTAGGATCATAAGAAATAGGACAATTAGGCTCAAGGGGGCTCAAACAAAGGAAATAATGCAAGGTTGTCTTTTTTACTAGTAGTTTGCAAGAAAGAAATGATGTCTTTATCATGTTAATGAAAGCATATGGAAATATAGTCTAAAAAAGGCTTAAGGCAAGTTCTAGTGTCATATAACTCACACATTAAAAGAAAGTAAAATGATGTTGTCATCTATATCAATGGCTCAAAACCTCACAAGGTATATATTTTATCACAAATAATCCAACACACAAGATTTTTCAAAGTCTACCTATTAAATCGAAGAATGGTTCAATCAATCCATTAAAGCTATGAAATAATCACTTAATTAGACTATGTACACCAAAAACATAATACTCTTTCCTCACTTGAAAT